TCTCCTTAAATTTCTTCCTCCCCGCTCGCTTCTTCGGGTTGTTTGAAGCTAACAAAACTTCCTCATCAGAAACATTGGCTCTGCTACTGCTATTTCCATTTTCAGATTCCAGTACCTCAGTTGATGACCATGAATCTTGCTCACAAGGAATTGAGTACGAATAAAAGTTTCCAAAAACATCCATTCTTGTTCTGAATTTATTTAAGTACTCAAAATGGATTTGAGTTAAGTAGAGAGTTATATGTGTGAGTGTGTGTATATATATGTTTGTGGATGTTGGGGAGACAATTGCATTACGCGCTCAGTCAGCGCTATTTTCACACGGAAAGAACCAGCTGGAGATATTTGTATTGATAGTCCAATCAAATCAAAACGTTTCTTTTCAGTCCCTAAATAATTATTTGACTAAGGTCCACTTGGATACATAGTCATCAGTTAACCTATTAAATGGAAGTTATGTGTCACTTTTAATATTTCAATGACCATGTGAAAATAAATTGAAGTTTAATAATATTCTAGTAACACAAGCTAAAATTTAGTGAGCCATGAAATAAAATCCCTCCATTTACTTGTATCGTATGTTGAATTGTACAATACAAACATAGAAAATATCCAGCTTGATTGTGTTTAAAAGTAAATATTAAGTTATTTTGTTACTCTATATTAAATAAAAAATGACTCGAGGTATTTTAAGCACAATTAAACAAGCAGAAATAAATGTTAAACATTATCGACGTGTTTATATAATGTTATAACTTTTCAACTGTCTAAGACTGTACCTATAATAATATTATTTAGCACTACTAGTTGTACAACACTAATTTACGGAGTTGAGAACTGCTGTCCAATTTTTTCTGTCCACCCAATTAATGATTGACATGTCATTTTAAATTAACATATCAACAATTTAATGGGTTAGCGATGAATTTTTTTTTTTTATGGTTGATGTGAACATGCTACAAGATAATATAGTATTGACAACGATAGTTTTACCTTTGATGATAATATTGCATTAATTTTGTTATCAAATTAAGGCCCTGTTTGTCTACCATTTTTCAAAAAATTATTTTCTACAGTAATCAATCTCTACTACACATTCAAATAATAAAATATTCTACACATAAACCGATAAAGTTTCTTTCAATTTCAACCTCACATTTTTCAAAAAATACTATTCATTACACCATTTTCTTCTCAATAATGGTTGACAAACATGCACTAAATAAAATAATCTCATGTATGTTTAAGCATAGGTAATATCTATTATTAAATAAAATAAAATAATCATAATTTGTGTTGACCTATAGTTGACTTCATAAAAATGCTTGCATAAAAATTATTTTTCAAACCAAAGGGAATGAAGAAAATTAGACTTCGAATATTTTCTCTAGCCTATAGTGTTGATAAATGTCTAGCATTTATTCCTCTGTATTTTGAGAAATTTATGGTGTTCCTTTTTTATTTAAAAGCTTAAATTGTTTTGCACGTAGCTAACTTTATAATTTTGCAAATTATGATCGATTTCAGTTATTTAAATTTTAATAAAAGTTGATAAAATGATTGGCTGAAAAGTTGTAAGTTCCATAAAATGTGTGGTTAAAATTAAATGTTGATTTT